ACACGCCCTCCATAAACCGCTGTGGAGTTTACAGTCAATACGGACACCTTCTCGACCACCAATATCAAAGACGTTTATTTCCGCTGCTGCAGCAAACCGGGAATGTAGGATGTAACTGATAGGGGGCGGCATTACCGGCTCTGGGTCGGGTTTCTGTCCAATCAGAGCGAAGATATAGCGCCGACGCCCCGCGTGACACCTAATCCTCTTCATTCTTTTGGCTGTCCACTGCCAAGGGCTGAAATACGTCACAAGTGTCGTGTGATGTTTTGCTTTTGAATGGACGGTCCGTGGATCCTCGTGTCAGTGCATGAAGGAAGATTTAGCCTGACATCAGGGTTTTTTTCACAAATGTGCAATTAAAAGAAATTATAGTATTAAATGCGGCATTAAGCTTAAAGAATCTAGCCCAGTCCTTTCTGTCAGTTTAAGCAAATGGTCAGTACATTCAGAAAAAACACAATATTATCTTTGCCAAAAAGTGATTAAAGCTAATATCTTTAAACTGAAACTGGTTTTCAGCCTCTGCTTACAATTATTTCAGTCTTGTGAGTTTTATTTTAAAGATTATCAATCATGCAGTAACTTTGTACTTGTTAAAGTGCATCTATACTGCTAGTGTTACCAATAGAATCCAGCATTCTTCTTCCACAAAAGCTATTACAGCTAATATTTTGTGACTGAAAGGAGTTTCCTGCCTCAGACTAACTTTATTTAACTCTTGGTAAATGGTCTTATACTTGTATAGCACTTTTCTACACTCAAAGCACTTTCACACTACTTGGCCATTCACCCTCACAAACGCACACTGGTGTTATCACCAGGAGCAACTGGGGGTTCAGTGTCAACATGTTGACTGGACAAACCAGGAGTCAAACCACTAATCCTCTGGTTAAGAAATGACCCGCTCTACCTCTTGTGAGTTATATTAAGAAGAGTGTTAACATCCAGTACCTTTGTACCAGTTTATAACAGAATAAATACCTTTGTATCCAGATTGCACGTTATATCATGTTTAATCATTTTTTGGCCTCAAGGAGCAGGATGTCAGGCAATGATGTCATAAAGCTTCAGAGCCCAACAATAAGTAAGACAATTTTCCAATTGTATCCTACCCTTAAAACAAAGCATGTTTACCCAAGAGCAGGTATGTGGCTTGACACATCTATACTGTATTTGCTCAGGTTAAACAACAACTGGCCCAACTGGCTTGGTATGCAGTGTTAGGTTATTTCTTAGTTAGATAGATATGGATTAGAGATCTGTTGTATTAGAAGATGTTTAGTGCAGACAGGGTGACTAGTTTGATGTAACTATTAGCCTGCAGTAAAATTGCAGGCACG